TTATTTATTTATTTTACTGTAACAACGAAAGAAAAACTTTTGGCATACTTGACCACCGTCACGTGTAAGCTTGTGCAACGTCTCTGTAGCTTTTCTGTATCAAGCAAACGGAGAGATACGGTTGATTTGAATACCATACGGCCAAGGTTACGTGCATGTTTTCTCGTTTCTCGAAAAGTTCGCTTTAAATACTGTTCAATGCGAGTCTTTGCGAGAACTCGTCGATCGTAGCTTTTCGATCTTGCTCTGTCTTTAAAGTTTGAGACTCGTATGCCCCGATGTTCAGGACTCTATCCAATTTGATTTCATCGCAACTGGTCGCAATCGAACAGCAGAGCACACCTGTACGCGTACGTACCATCGATCCGCGTACTTGAAATTATTTAAAAACTTATCCAATAGTTGTAATTGATCAGGAACTGTAGAACTGAATTGAAGAGAAAGTCAGAACTCTTAATTATTTACGAGTTACCGCAACGTGAGCTGTCAGTAGAAGATTGAACCGTTAGTAGGTAATGCGCAGTTATTTTCGGAACAAAAGTCCGAAGGGGGAGTAGGAGATGCGCCATGTATTTGTTTTGATAGCCGTTCGTTTATTCGCTCGCTCGTTTGCCATTACAAGCAAAGAAAAAAAAAAAAGAGAGAAAGAGAGAGAGAAAAAAAAAGAAAACAAACCTGTTAGCAGCCGTGTCGAGGGGTGGGTCGATTATGACGATGCGAATGCGTTGATACACTTAGGCAAACGGCAAGTCCCGGTTTCTGGTGGTACATATCGTCCCACCTACACGGTACAGGAGACCCCGCTGGTCCCACCTCGAAGACACCGGGCCCATCGTCCATGCCGATGCCAATACCAATGCCAATACCGATGCAGATGCGAATGCCAATGCCAGGGCGAATGCAAGTGCCAGGGTCAGTGTCAAACGCGGCCGACGTCGATGTCGCGCAACGATCATCGACACCGTACTCGAGAGTACCGGCCTCGCAGCCCTCCGAACTCTCTGAGTCTAACGAGCCCGTCGAGCAATCACCGCGAGGGCTGCAATCAGGCTCAGGGGCCGGATTGTCTTCCAAGACTTTAAACAGATTCCTTCGAGGTAAATTTGCTTCGTCTGCAGACCTGGAAATACCAAAGTCACAAGCTGCTCGAGCGCTATTAAAACCGTTCGATTAAACCTGGCTCACACCGAATGGCTTAACACTCTTCTTTCCGTTATCGTTTTTTTCTTTCATTTTTCTGACACTAAGCGCACGCTAGCGATCACTTTCTCCCTGGTCACCCTTCCTCGCCTGTTTTTTCCTTTAATTTTAAAACACATCGCTATTCTCCGATCAGGAACCACTGTATGAGCGTTGGAAGAAGCTGACCGCACAATACTGTATCTACGTATAGTACTACGATATTCTTTTTATTAGGGTACATTAATTCGGCATATCTAGATAATAGTACATTTAGGGTATTCGTTTCAAACAATCCGATCAATTCAGGCACAAGCATGAAACATTAATAACTTGTTACATCTACACTTACGTGTAGCAGTGGATTAACTTTGTCACTTCCGAATGTTGAGGTAACACTTTGGAATTACTCAGATTTAATGATATCTAACGTGCATGATAGCTGATGGCTATGTACTCTACGTCTCCCTCTCTCTTTCTTTCAAGTCTTTGAAAAAAAAAAAAAGAATTTTTTTTCTCTAAATGATGCAATATCGTTATCTCCATAAAAGTAGGTTGAATTTAAAATTATTATCGGGAGCTTCGTAGCACGTATAATCCAAGAGTGTAGAAAATCTCGATCTTAATCTTGTTCTTCTACCGTTCTACCTTCCATTCCATTCGTTGTTCCTTTCCTGTTTCCTTTGCTTGACACCATCTCATTGTCAGTCCATTACGGAATTGCAACGCGTTCTACGAACGAGAGAGCGAAAAAGGAGACAAAGGAAAAAGAAAGGTAGAACGTCGAGCGTACCCGCGACGCTGACGTATCTCTGAACGTCGAGCATAGAGTATCGTTACCGCGGCAGAAATGCGTTTATGCGAACGTTAATTAGCTCTGTAATTAGCGCTGTCTCACTCACCGATGCCTTTCTAACAAAACGTTTCAACTTCGTTGTCACATGCAGAACAGTTTGCGTTTGCTGTTACGCCACATCGACTGTAATTTGATTGTTTGTTCGATAACGTTTGACCAGCAGCCGATATACAATATACGATGCTTTGTGTGCCTTTCGTTGGACAGCACCGATCTATAAGCGTGTACAGATTAAAACGACACTATTGAATTGCAGGTAGCGATCTGTTGACCAGTTTGACGACTACCTTTGATCGTAAGTGGAGATCGTTGGTAAACTCGTCGAATCAAACGGCTCGTGGATCCACCACGGAGAACGCGTCTCTCAGCGACGAGGATCTAGCTGTGACGAGAGACTCTCCAAGCTCGCGACACGTTCGAGGTTCGCGAGAGGAAAAGGACGAACGAAAAACTGCGGCCGCTGCTCAACTTGTGGATTCCGGCTTGGTAGAAACCTATCGGGACCCAAGTCTTCATAAGTCGAACCTCGAGAAACATCAACACGTTCGTCGAAAAAATGTAAGCGCACGGTGTCTTGAAAATTTCTATATTTAAATATTTCGCTTTATTTGCTGTTATCGAAAGGTATTAACCGCATCGAGCTTTTCCTCAGGATGCACCAGAAAAGGACACGGATTCGTCGGTAGGGGAAAATAGCAATGCCGATCGACTGGATGTCGATATACCGGACAACGATCGTAGCGCTATCGTGCGACGGAAGATCGAATCGGATCAACTGCGATCGAACAAGGAATCTATCGAGCCAAGTTTGGAATCAAACGACACGCAAGGATGCTGTAGAATCGCGGCTGAAAGGGACGCATCCGTGCAAAACGGCAAATCGGAGGACGCGAAAGACGCGACCAATTACTCGAACAAGTTGGAAAAGTTCGAAAGTCTGACGACAAATTTGGAAGTCAGATCGCGGCTAAAGAGATCCGAGTCTCTGAACAAAAGATCGGAAAACACTTGCTCGAAATTGAAGAGATCAGAGAGCTTGAATAAGCATTCCGCCGAGCGACTATCGTCTCCGACCAGTGGCAAGCTAAAACGATCCGAGAGTTTGAACAAACATTCGGAGAGGTCTGACTCTCCTAACAGTAAGCTGAAGAGGTCCGAGTCACTGACGAAAACTGAGAAGACCGAGTGTAACATTAGCAAGAGGCGACAATCGGTTAGGAAGGACAGCGCGACGAAATTGAAGCGGAAAAACGGTATGCCCGAACGATCGATCAAACGCAGACACACCGTGGGCGGTACCAAGGATTTCGACAAAGTGCACTGGTTGGACAACAAGTTACAAGTCGAGGCGGAAAGGGTGGTTAGGAACGAGTACAGACCGAAGAAGAGTCAGCTCAGAACAAGCTCTCCGGATCTTAGTACTGGGTGCATCGGCGGCCTCGCTGATGCCAGCTTTCTAATCGAGGTCAGCTTTCGTGGTCCGAGCAACGTTGTCTTCAACGTGACCAACGCTCGGCCGCAGTCTCTACCGGATACCAGCTTGGCTTCCAAAGTTTTCAAAGTACCACTCGAGAGTCACGTTTAATTGCATGCGCGAACAAACGGTCGACGAACCTCGAGAACCCTGCGCGGTGAACATTTTATTTTATCCTTTCTCTTTTTCACGAAGCATTTATGTCCCCTTGCGCTTACGTCGATAGCGCGTCAATTACTTATGCATCCGTACTCATTATTAGCTCATGAATTGTGATCGTGTGCAATTAATATGTGTATATAATGTCCGTAGATTGTATAACAGGCGAACAATCCGGATATCGACGGAGTTTGTATTTTTTAATAACCGACTAGAAGAGATTTAGAGGTAGCCGCGCGTGGCTACCTGTCTCTACGTATTTTAGGTGTATACGTAAGGTAACGGCGATACGTGAACTACGCGTTCGTTTCGTTCGTGTGTCCTACGGCGAATGATTTTCTTTTTATCTAAATAATCGCAGTTGACCGCATTCTCTGCGTACTCTACGTTCTGGGTATCGAGATCGTATTCGTCGATCGAGAAACTGTAATCACGTGAGTCGTATCATAGGCCTGACAATCGATTTTTCTTATTCCTTGTAAACGTTACGTGCGTGCGTGCGTGCGTGCGTACGTGCATGCGTGCGTGCGTGCGTGCGTCTAATTGAATGCGACCACGGGCCGATGATTAAGCGATATTTATTTTAAATTCTTAACAAGCATGATAACGTTATTTATTGAATGTGCCGAGCGTCCTGTGATGAAGGAGCTTTCGCATTGCGTACTACGGGCACGGATACCGAATTTGTAAATAAATCTTATATATTGCTAATTTAAAGAAACGTTTAGTACGTCACCTCTACCTCTTCCGTCCATTTTTTTCAGGTATTTTATTCTATACACACGTGGAAGATTACTTATTAAAAAAAGATGTATTCGATAGAATGTTCTTACTAGCTGCTGGAGCAAATTACGGTTATTGAGTCTGTTGTAGTATATATATATATATATATTTTTTTTTGCTTTATTTATTGTTAATTTTAACTCTTATAATTTTAAATAATACTTATCGTGACGTATTTTGGAAATTGTAATTTTTAAACATTAAACTGATATTATAATATTATTTCCTTATAACTTGTTTTAGTTTAAAAAATAGTAAAAATAATACACAGATGTCAATAGTAAAGTTTTTTATTTATGACATGAGATCATCTTTTCCCGTTATCTTTGCTTCACTTTGATTTGTAGATTCGTCCGTGCACTTGTACAGGCCGTGTCTACGAGCATATGGATATGTCATATGTATCATGTATGCAGTACGATCGAAGCATTGTACAGCATAGATGGCGCTACCTAACGCTTATTCGAATCATCCATTTCCGATTTCGCCAGATTGTTCTTCCGAACTTTGCGATACAATTTACAATTTAATTGACGTTAAACCAATACTATGAACGTAGTAGAGAAAGAAAAAGCTTTTCCACCACCTGGACAACGAAACGGACCCACACTCCGAGAACAATTCGCTGTACCTTCGCGAACAATAAATCGTAATATTTTCGTACGTAATGTTTCCTACTAATAATTCGCTGGTCACTAATTTTTCGAATTGTTTCGAATTTGACTATAGAATTCAGACTTGGTGTCGATCAAATGCGTCGAACAAACTGGAAATCAACTAGTTCCAGTTTCTCGAGAAGCCCGCGTAATCGTCGTGGTACAGGCAGAGGTCGAGCATCGACATCGACCTCTTGCATACCCAGATCTTCCCGTAAATACATATCACGGTAAATTTCCGCTTACCCGTCATTTTCTTGCACGTTTAAACTCGATTAAACCATCATCGAGTTGTTTTTAATGCTAGTATAGATAATTTTTTAACAATTTTAGATCTGGTACAAAGACCACCGAAGGCACTACTTGCAGCATGATCGAATCTGGCGGCATTATTCTTGGTGAGTACTGTGCATTCCCAGCTACCTTATAATATCATTACAACCATTAATTATTTCGCAACTTAATAGCAATAACAACCGGTCGAGGTGAAGCCAAAGCAGAAGTCGGGATGGCCGTTTTGGATATCCGATGTCCCCATTTGATTCTTTGTCAAATCAGCGATTCCCAGATATACACAAACACGTTGAGCAAGTTGTACTTGTTCGATCCGATAGAAGTGAGAGTCCTTGGGCTATATTATATTTAAATTATTATTATACGAGGGTTCTTTTTAACATTTTTAAACTGGCACAATTTCTCTTGCGGGTTCCCGGTATTTTCTCTGAAACGAGTAGCCATCTAACGGTGAACATACCGAACTATTTTGCGGCGTACGATCAGCGCCTCTATCGGGAAAACGTCCAAGTTGGTCGTCGAATAGTTCCTATTTCTATAACTAGATGACGTCGTTAATATATTTTTACCGACACGATGGTAATGCACCGACTGTGTCGGTGAAAAAAGGAACTATTCGGGGACAAACTTGAGCGTTTTTCCGATAGAGGCGCTGACCGTACTCCGAAACGTGTTCACTGTTAGATGGAAATTTGAATTTTTTTTTTTTTATTTAATTAAATTAAAGTTTATTAGAAGCACTTGCAGTTACTAATGAATAGTTTAAGAGTCTTGTTAAAGAGATTAAGTGATTACTTAAAAAAAACTGGTTCGTTTTGGAGAGTAGAAACAGAGTACAGACGGCTTTATTAACACAGACTTTATTTTATACTATGTAGAGATTACTCCCAGCAAAAAGGCTATTAATAGGCTCCCTATTACAAGCGTTAAAAATAGAGTCGTTTACTGTAATCGTCTAGAGAGAATTTGAAAATATTTCAAATATCTTGAATCGTATAGGTTTTAATGCCAGAGACGATGTGCGACAGTGCAGCGAACAGAAACATTCTCCACCGCTTCATCAGAGATAAGTTTCCCGAACTGCAGGTGACCGCGATATCGCGAGTTCACTTTAACGACAAAGTGGGACTCGAACGAGTGAAAACCCTCTGCATAGCCGATTATTCTTCGGTGGAATTGTTCGTTAAGGAAAAGTAATACTTTCGATTATCGACGAAACGTTTATCTTCGCTTTTAGAATATATGTATATACATATTATAAAAGATAGTTGGTAGCGTTTCATCACTGAAATTGCTGAGATTCACCATTCGATTTTTTTAGGTATTATGCGTTAGCGGCGGCAGCAGCTTTATTAAAATATGTCGAATACGCGCAGCGTATCGTCTACACTCCGAAATCGATGAAGATCGAATTTCACGTATCGCAAAACTCCACTACTTTAGATTTAGAGAGCTCGCGAAGTTTAGAGCTGGTTCAATCGCAATGCGGTGAACGGAACGTTAGCTTGCTAGGTATCCTGGATAACTGCTGTACACCGATGGGAAGAAAGCTATTACGCGCCAACATCCTTCAGCCTCCGTGCAACGAGCACATCATCCTCGAGCGACAAGCTTCCATCGCCGAACTGGTGGCCAATCGTTCGTTGCTAGTTCTGCTTCAGGTTCCAACTTTTAAGCGTTACGAGTATCGTATAATAAACAGGAGGAATCGACTTTTCTTTTCTTTAAAAAGGATGACGATGGTGTTACATTTGTTTTCAGCCAATCGTACGGCAACTCTACGGAGCCGATAGGCTTTTAGCGTTATCCACCGCGCCTGTTCTGCAGGAAAACAACGTGCAATGCGCGGAGCAGAATTTAAATTATTTGTTGCTCTTGAAAAATTTGATGGAAGTAGTTCCTGAACTCGAAGCTGCTCTTTCCTCCGCCGAAACCGACATCCTTCGAACGATTCGAAAGGTTCGTTCTCTATGACCGATACTATTGTATGTACAATACATATAATACTCGTGTTTATACACAAGCAAGATATTTTTCAGAAACTGGAGAATCCTCAGTTCCGTATGATAAAGGAAAGAATCCTTGAAACGATACATCCAGATGCGAGAGCCGTGTCAGGATACACATCGTCCAACATGCAACGTTGCTTCGCTATCAAAGCTGGGATCAATGATTTGCTGGATATTGCTCGTCAAACATATTGCGAGCTAATCGACGATATGAAGTGTTAGCAAATTTACTACTCGAATCTTATATACTGTTATTTCTATACTGTTTCTTCTTTCTTTTCCAATAGCTATGGTGGAGAATCTAGCGTCCAAGTATAAATTACCTTTGTCCTTGGGATGCAACGTGTCGTTAGGCTACCACATCCAAGCGATACTGCCGCGTACCTTAAACGCGGAAACCTTTGATCTACCAACCGAGTTCATAGAGGTACATACTATGCTGAATAGATAATTCCTTTCAAATATAATTTTCACGAAACATTGTTCTTGAATGTACTTTGCTATCGTATCATTTGACGTAGGTACGAAAGAAGAAAAGAGTCTACACGATGACTACCGCTATGCTGTCAACATTGAGCCAACAGTGCAGAATCGCGTCCGAAGAATTGCACGTAATGAGCAACGTGTGGGTGTCGAATCGAATTACAGACTACGGTAGACCTTTTGCTCCACTAACTTACGATAACAATAACTAACGATTAAAATATGTATCGGCAGAATCCTTTGCGACTTGCTCCAATGTCTCCGAGGGTACATAAACTGTTTGTTTCATTTGAGTGCCGACGTAGCAGAGCTGGACTTGATGATTTCCCTCGCCAAAGTCAGTTCCGTGCAAACGTATGTCAGGCCAACGTTTGGACCTAAGCTTGAATTAATTGATTCGAGGCACCCGATATTGGAAGTTTTCGGTCTCGATGCGCCTATACCGAACAACGTTGTAGGTGATTCGAGGGTGTACATGGTATTACACATGTGTGGTGGTTGGGTATACATATACATACATTGTATACCCTTTCAATTGCAGAATGCGTCGACACCCTGGAATTTCCACGTCATCTCAGGCCCCAACATGAGCGGCAAATCGACCTACCTCAAGCAGATCGTTTTGTTGCATATAATGTCGCAGATTGGTTGCTTCGTGCCAGCGAAGAAGGCTGTGTTTCGTATAACGGATCTCATATTTTGCAAGATAGCTATCCGCGACGACATCGAGTACAACGCTTCCACGTTTTCTGTCGAAGTCAGTCGCGTACCCCTACCCAATGTACCCATACATAACGTTGTATGTACATTCTTTGTACAAACTCTACCAATGATTTTATCCAAATTGTTTAGATGAAAGAAGCCCAATATATTTTGCGGACCGTGACGCCCACCTCGCTGATAGTTTTAGACGAATTGTGCAAGAGCACCGCGATGGAAGAAGGTGGCTCCATCGCGTGGGCTATATGCGAACGTCTTTTGAACACGTCCGCGTTTGTTTTCGCGTCGACTCACTTTGCTTATCTGACAAAACTGGCGAATTTGTACTACAACGTAACCAAGTAACCAGATATTTACCTTTTACTTTTACTTTCTTTTTTTAATGCTAAACCTATCGACGTTCATACGTAACCATTTTACTTTAAAGACACATTTCAAAGATTTTAACGAAACTTCAGTTGTTCGGTTTGTGATTAAATATGAATCATACGAGCCTATTTCGATTGAAGTTTACCACTTTTATGGCCAATTTTTATGATAATTGGTCATTTGACCGATCATGGTAGGTTTAGCGTTAATCAACGATAGACAGATATTAGATCCTACGAATGAAAAATATTTTCATGAAATGAATTCTCTCTCTCTCTCTCTCTCTCTCGATAATGTTTTAGTCATTACTTCGAGACGATAACGTTGCGTGAAACAACGGAAACAGATAATTGTTGTCGATTAACGTACACTCATCGGTTGAAACTCGGAGTGGCGACTATGAGCGATTACGGTATCGTTTTAGCTGAATCGTCCGGTTTACCAAAGTCTGTCACGGATGCAGCTCGGAAATTTGCTTCCGAACGACTGGTACACGCAATCATTTTTCATTTCCTTTCGATTCCGTTTTACTGATTATTAATCATTTCCTAAATATATTTACTTAGTTTTATCGATACAAAGTAGACTACTGTTTGCAGATCGTCGATCGAATCACGATCGAGTCGAACTCTTGGGAACACGAGTGTTACAACATCGTGGGTAAAATGTACGAGTTTCTAGAAATGGACAAGTTCGATCGAGTAGAAGTAGCGAAGCTTCTTGAAGAAATTGCGAAGCTTCGGTGGCAAGAAGAAGACGAGGATGACAAGAATCAGGACGACGCGAAAAACAATGACGAGAATAAGGAGATCAAGGAGGGAGAAGGCTCGAACGAGCCTATACCGATACCAATGGCTGTGATTTCGAGAAAAAGTTTCGACGAACCGAAAAAAACGTCGCTCGACGAGACCATCGTTATAGCGGATAATAATTTCCCAGCGTGTTCGCTTTCGTCTGCCTCTGTAGCGTATACGAACGCATCGTTGGTGTTCCATCATATGCAAAACAGAAGTGTCGATTTTCAAAACGTCCCTCTCAGTTTTAGTCGCAACGAACCAAACGCGTCGCGTTCTTTCGCATTTAATTCGATCAATCTTTTATTCCCTACTTCGATAGCAACTAAACATGCGCCAGCATCGAACAGCCTCGAGAAAAATCCGTCCACGTTAAACAGTTTGAAATTTCCATGTAGCGAACGATGCTCCAACGGACCCCGTTCGTTCAGCTTCACGACCAACGACTCGGTTCCGTCCTTTCCGTTTACACCTGACAATGAGTCGGTGTCGGGAACGATGTGCATGTCGATGAGTACAAACGAATCGTTGCAAAAGTCGTTGCACGAGTATTGTCTCTCCGACAACGATTTGGTACCACTCGATATTTCTCAGGTCTCCATTCCTTCGAGCATAGCGACGAATAGCAACAACTTGTTGAGTCGCCAAGAGAAGTAAATAAATCGACATAAATATCATTGTAACATTCAACGTGTACTTGGAATACAAAGCACAAACATTATAGATATATTACATATTTATGCTATAAATCGTATTTTACATTTTTTTACCGCTATATTTCGAGATGATACCCTACTTTGTCTTTTCCCATCTCAGTTTCCTATAACCGACAGCCGTTACGAATCTCACGATTCACGACCACGACCACGACCACGGGGTCCAAGCTCCCGTATTAAAACTTGTCACCAGCTTGAATATGTTATAAAAGTCTATAGTATATAAGACATATGTGCAGATGCAGTTTGAAGGATTTTCGTCATTTAAAAAATTACATTTTTTTAACGACTTTCTCTGATTTACTTTCTTTTAAATAATTTAATGCGATTTTAAGAACCCGCTCCACATTTTAGTTGGGTGAATTGTTCCCACGTGGCGCTACAAATTTTGTACATATACATACCAACTTTCGATACGTGATGACAATGGTGAGCTTGGAACCCCTGCCCACGACCACGACCACGACCACCACGGCTGAAATTAACGACGCCTTTTACTGATTAACCTGTTTCTGTATAGGTTAAGTTCGTTTACCATAAAGAAGTGAATTATGCATCCCTCGAGACAGTTGGAAATGTACGAAATGTTTCGAAAGTTTCTCAGGGATTTAAAATGGTGGAAGGCATCCGTAAATATACCCAGTGCTTGAAGATATCATCGCCACCGTCGTCGTTGTGCGAGTGTCGACGAAATATTTTCACCGTCGATCGAATACTTTGATTCGGAGAAAAAATGTTGACTCGACACGGTATAATCACGGACTCTTCTCACGTTGAAGCAGTGCCAATAAACTTGGTTGCCACCGAGGATGGCAGAACGCTTCTAGCAGTGACAGGTAGAAAACATTTGTCGATGGAAATCACAAGTAACACCAACCTGTATTTTTTACAATACCTTGTATTTATACCTTCTATCCTCAGAACACAAGGATGGTATGCTGGAAATTGTTGCAACCCCAGTTACGCTCATCGGTCAAAGTAGCATAGCCACCTCCTTGATGGATGTGAAGAATTTTAATGGAAATTTGATCCTTCAGTCTGTAAGTTTTTCTTTTTCCACTGTATTTTATCTTTTAAAAAGAGATATTTTTTCTGATGTTATGTCTTTTCAGCCTGGATTTCATATTAGCTTGGAAGATATCGACGGATCGGAACTCCATCGATCTCAGCAAATTCTTGAAATCGATCCCGATGTTTCTAGACAAGAGAAATCTCGACCGCACTTAGAGACGAAACATGAGTTATCTCGCACTTGTGAATCTGTTATCGATAATTCGATACTTAACCAAAAGACCTGTGAAATTCAAAAAGGACAGGCTTCCACAACCACGAAAAGAAATAGCCCTGGAAGGCCAAGGAAGAGCACGGCGATTTCCTCGAAAGTACGTCGTCTTTATTTATGTAAATTTTTGTAAGATTAAGTAATAAATATGGTTTTTCGATGTTAGGGCAAAGAGAGTTTGCAGTGCGATATTTGTCAACAAGAATTTACTAAACAATCATTGTATAGAAGACACATGGAGAATCATGCGGAGGAGAAACCGCATCGATGTCCAAAATGTTCCGCGTCGTTCAACGTACCGGTAATTCGACAACGTTTTCGTCCATCCGCTAACTTCGATGGAAACAGTACTATCGCCGTTATTGAACGTTTCATACATTTACAGACAAATTTTACCCTTCACATGGCAACGCATAATACAGGCGAACCAAAATGTCCCGAATGCGGTAGAAAATTTGCGCGAATGGCCAGTTTAAAGTCTCACATGTTGTTGCACGAGAAAGAAGAAAATTTATTCTGTACGGAATGCGAAGACGCTTTCTCGACCAAAGTAAGTTTCAGCATTGAAATTGCGTAGATACAAGACTTTATTCGCTGATTTGTGTAAACATTGTAGACTCAATTAGACGCGCATTTCAAACTTCACGGGGAGAAATGGATAACCGAAGAGGCACGGAAGTGTAAGCTGTGTAATAAACAGTTTGGTCAGCCAGCTCTGTATAGGCTTCATATTCGCGAACATTACAGGGTAAGCTGTAACAGTTTGATGTTACGAACGCTTCTTTTGTTGCGAATTTCTCACTTACAAATTATTGCATTTCCTAGCTGCAGACAAAAATAGTAAAGCAGACAAAAAGAGGAGCGAAACACAAAACGATGTACAAATGCACGATATGTTTGAAATCCTTCCAGAAGCCAAGCCAATTGATGCGTCACATTAGGGTTCACACGGGTGAAAAACCTTTCAAGGTATATTCATCCTACATTGATAAACGCTAAGAATAAAATAGTTCGATCTGGAAAAAATAGCTAGCTTACGCTATCAATTCTTGTAAATCTATCTTATTCGTGTGACTTGGTTTGCATTCGTTCTCGCAGTGTACAGTGTGCGGTCGTGCATTTACGCAGAAGAATTCGCTGCAAATTCATACGTGGCAACATAACGGTATCCGACCTCATGCCTGCGAGCTTTGTAACGCCAAATTTAGTCAAAAAGGTAAATTGATGGCTCTTCTTTAACATAGAAAATATTCTTATTTTTGCATCGTGGTGATTTTCAACGGACGTGTATGCATGCTGGTTTGAGTTGGTTCGGAGAGAAGCGCGACACGCGTTACACGGACACTGTTATAAAATCGATCAGATAAATCGTCGAATCTTTTACTATTTCGTTATTTCGCGTATATTAGAAAAAACATTGTTTTGGAAAATCCGATAATTATATTTCTTCGACAACTATCATCGCTAAATACACAACAAAAAGCTAGTCAAGTTAGTCGGTCTTTAAAGAAACTTGTTTTTTAACGTTAACTGCATGTTGTTTTTGATTCACCCGTAGGTAATTTGAATGCTCATATAATGAGAGTCCACAACGTGCCAGAGGGAGAGCCTATATACGGATGCAATTATTGTTCGTGCGTATTTAAAAAGCTTGGCAGTTTAAACGGTCACATGAAACGCATGCACACGGATGTGAACGAGGTAAATCGCGATTAAGATCGACTCGCGAATATTAGATTGAAGGATGTAGGACTTTCAGGAGAGCGCTAGCATCGATGACACCGACTGTGCCGATGCGATGGAGTCCGATATTCGGGCAACAGTGAACAGCGTTATGACTCAGCTGGCGTCTTTGGAATCGAACGGGAACCAAGTCCAAAAAGCAGCGAATTTAGACGCAAATATGTTGTCGGGAATCGCGACGAAAAAAGATATCCTGCAGCAGGCACTGAAAAACAGTGGCCTTCCTAGTAAAAACAAAACTCTATGCGAAGGTACGCCATACGCTCGAGACCACTGACAGATCATGACCAACTTACTTTCAATTAGTGCTGTCTCGTTTACGAAGCTTGTTTGTCAAAGGTACATTGGAAACGAAAAAGGTCGGGGCACGTACTAATTTTGTAACCTTGTTGGACAGAGGACCCGACGGTGGCACGAGGTAAACATTTTTACGAGTTTAAAGAAAATCCTTTATTTATTATTATACGACTACTTATTATCTATCCATTTGTTTGTCATAGGAAATACTTGACGATAAAGCAACGATGCGTAGGAAACGTGAGGTGGTACGCGTGTTCTTTTTGCCACAAGGAATTCAAAAAACCATCGGATTTGATACGTCACTTACGCGTACATACGCAAGAGAAACCTTTTAAGGTAAGGACGCAAATAAAAATAAAAGAAAACAATGACGCATCTATGGGAAAACTTTGCCCATTCGTAAAGTAATATGGTTAAATCTCTTTTTAGTGTGCGCATTGTTATCGTTCGTTCGCTTTGAAGTCGACTATGATAGCACACGAACGTACGCACACGGGTACTAAAAGATACGCTTGCGTTTCTTGCGATAAAACATTTACCTGCCATGGTAGTTTAGTTGCCCATACCAGGTGGGTATTTCTTGCGTTGTACCTTTAAAACTGATCATCCAGTCGGTGGCAATACGTATGTACACCTGTCCTATTTTAGATTGCACGCGAAATTCAAGGATTGTTTCGGGAAAACAGTTGGAGACGATGAGATTGTCGGTGTTGTAGGTAGTTCTTCCAGTAAAAGGCCAAAAAACCATGCGAAGAACAAATCGAAAATATCTCCCGAGGCAGAGAGTCTGGTGACCCAAGTGGTCCTGGAAGAGCCGTTGGTAATCAGCGACACGGGTAACAAAATATGCGTGGCGCAGGTACCTTCTAAGGAGAAACGTGCTTTCGACGCGGCGACCGATCCAGCCAGACCGCACAAATGCTGGGTGTGTCAAGCAGCGTTTCGAAAAATCAGTCATCTGAAGCAGCATCATCGTAGACACACGGGAGAACGTCCTTACAAGTGCACCAAGTGCGACAGGTGCATTAGCAAACGATACAATTACTTTTTCTTAACATGTATTACTCTTATTTTTCTAATCTAAGCTTGCTAACAAACTACTCGTCGATTGTTTCAGGAGGTTCACGTCGAACAGCGTTCTGAAGTCACATTTGCATACGCACGAGGACTCGAGGCCCTACGGTTGTTCCATCTGTAACGCGAAATTTTCTACGCAGAGTAGCATGAAGAGGCATTTAGTCACTCACAGTAACAAAAGGCCATACATGTGTCCATATTGTCACAAGACGTTCAAGACTTACGTAAATTGCCGGAAGCATATGAAAATACATAAGCACGAGTTGGCGCAACGGGTACGTCTGCCGTAGAAAGAAAGGTTGTGTCGCCATCGACGATGAACCATCGTTTTTTTCCTTTTGATCTGTAGCAATTAGAACAACAAAAGATCGAAATCAGAGAACGGGACACAAATAAGTTAAACCAGAGAGAATCTTTGAAACAAGGAACAGCTTCCGGGTCGCCTAGTTGCTCGACGGATTTCTCTGTTAACGGTACCACTGCCGTCGCCATTGCTACAACCACTGCCACCATCGTCACGTCTCCCTCGTCCACATTTTCGGATAATCTCGCGCTTTCTCGACTCGGACCTGTTGAGATATCTTTTCAACCTCACATCGGGACAGACTTCTCGCAAGCTTTCCCCGACCAATTTCAATCTGTAACCGAGGAAAAGGATAGTATGAGGTCGCTTTTACCAACGAGCTGTGATAATTCAACGATTATCAACCGTACGTACCAAATTATACCGAGGAATCGATTGTGTCGAGGAACTTTTGTCTCGGATTTTATTGAAATTAATTTTCAGAAAACATGTCGGAAGTGCCGATAACGAATCTTGAAAATTCGCAGATGTTACACGCTGACGAAGCCGGTTCGGTCACGTTACCTGTTTATTCTGCGGAGCAAGCTCTCACGCCGGTATATATATATATACAAATGTGTATAGAGATATACAGAATGTCTCAATTATAGTAACGATAAATGAGGCTACGAAATTCCTGTGAATGTCTTATTAAAAAAGAAAAATGTATTCGACTTACAGGAGAGCATACGAGAAATAGAAGAAACGTTGAACCAGCAACTGTTTAATATAGGAATGAACCTAAGCCTAGGCGGTAATCATTCGAAACATATGAGTGGTGCGAGCAGCGGCCTCGAACATTCAAAAGAACAACACCACCAGCAACCTGTCTTGAATGTTATCTATGAAAATAACAACAACAACAACAACGGTAACAACAACAACAACAACAACATAGAGCCGGCCGAGGACCATGTGTTCGCGTCGCAACTAGATTCGTTCGAGATGGATCATATCGCGTTGCAAGTGAGATCGATACGCGATTCAGAAATATGCAGCGAAGGGAACTCGTTGATTCAACGCAGACTTAACCTTTCAGACGGATACTGAAATTGGACTGGACAGTATCAGCCTGAACGCGAGCAATTCGACGAGTATGGCGAGCATATTGCCCAGGACAGCAAAGGAAGAACACAGACTCTCTGTTTCCGTTACGTCGCCTGACAACGTGAACAGAGACCAATCGGGTAGGTGTATGCAGGCGGTAGTGCTTATTTCTGAGCAGAGTCTTTCAGGCAAGGAACCAACGCCGAACGAATTGGGTGTGAACGAGACTGACAGAGGCAACGGCCAGGAACGATGCTCGATCGATCGAATACTCTTAACGTAAGTCTTGGCTGTTTCGTTACGCTCCTCTCTACTCTTGTTTTGTCACATTATTATGTAGGTAGAAAGCGGTTCCCTTCCATGAGCGAATGAATAGCAATTGTACGGATATGATTTGCGTAGAGAAGAGTATCGAGGAACGACGCACGATTCGAAGGTTCCGTTAAAAGTGCATCCCATGTCCGAAGTCACGGGAACCATCGATGCTAACGCGGGTCAAACGTCACCAGGGAAATCTCTGTTGCAGTGTCATATGTGTAGTCAGCAAGGATTCACGGCAACTAGGCTGAAGGTAATAATAGTGGATAAATAATTGGTAACGTACTTGGTAGCAAGTATAACGTTCCGAGTATATTTGCAGGAGCATTTGAAGATCCATCGCGGGACAAAGGAATATCAGTGCACGGAATGCTCGTCGAGATTTTGCACGAATGGTGGATTGAACCGGCATTCCAAGATCCACGTTAATAAACAGTGAGTAGTTGTACTATTTTAAATAGCTAATCAACGCTAGAATCTATCGTTTTTTCCATAGACCATGGAAGTGCCAGTCTTGCGAGAAATATTTCAACAGTAAAACACAGCTTCGATCGCACAGTAGAATTCACGAGACCTCGAGGTGGAATACGATATCAGAATTGAATACCGGTGCTCCAGTGAATCCAGTTCCATCGGAGATGAGGGCGATCGTAGACGTTGATTCGCCGTTAAACGATATCGTGATAGATCCTGATTCCACCGTCTCCGAAAGGGTCCTGCTGGATACGGTAGCAGAGAAGGAAGTGATGGATCGCGTGAAAGTAAGTCGAATTATTTACAACGGGTTCCTTTTATGGCTGCGAAAACTATCGAGCGTTAATGTTTCAGAATGCTTTGACGGAGAAAAAAGTACGAAAGGAGTATACGAATAAGTGCAAGTATTGCCCGAAAACATTTCGCAAACCGAGTGATCTCATAAGGCACGTGCGCACGCATACGGGTGAACGACCGTACAAGTGTGATTTTTGCAACAAAAGTTTTGCCGTAAAGTGTACTTTAGATTCGCACACGAAAGTTCACACGGGCAAGAAAACCTTTCGTTGTCACGTTTGCAGCAGTCTGTTCGCTACGAAGGGTAGCCTGAAAGTTCACATGCGATTGCATACAGGTGAATATAAGTTAAGAATTTGGGTAACAATTACTTTCTGCATTCCAAGTGGAACCCAACCCAACCAGTCTCGTGCGTTTTTCTTTAGGTTCGAAACCGTTCAAATGTCCTGTCTGCGATTCGAGATTCCGGACTTCGGGTCACAGAAAGGTGCATTTGTTGAAGCACGCGCGGGAACACAAAGGCAGCCCTAAGAGGAAACAGAGGCACATGAAAGTCGCGGCTATAGCGGAAGTCGTAGCTGACATCGCCAAGTGTGGCGACGCAAGCGAAGAAAAGATGAATACCTTCGAAAACGAGCAACAGCTTCACCACGAACAACTCGCGCAAACAACTACAACCGACTATTCTCACTTGGAGACGATAAACGTTGACGCAACGGCTGGCTGCTTGGCCGATCAAATTACCTTCGACACCGATGGTGCTGCCATGACGAATGGTAACCCGGTATTATCCTTGACCGAAGGCAATCAGCTAGTCGCCAACTTGAATTTCCTTCTGACAAATGGTCTCGTTACCATTCAAACCGAGGAATCCTTGCTACCCCAATCATCGTCAACCGATATACCCCATAATCGTTCCTCTATAGTTACCGATTCCACGTGCGTATCGACGCTGAACATCACAGCTGATACTGGCAACGACGAGACTAAGGAAGCGATTCATATAGGGCAAATGTTGAAAGCGCAACTCTCGTCGCCGTATCAGTTGCAATCGAATAATTGCTTGTTAAGCGTAGCAGCCACGACGTCTATGGAAACGTTCTCGAAGGCTCCGACTGTTGTCAGGCCTCCATCGAAACCAGCCAAAGGAACTTCGTCCAAGAAAGAGTGCGACGTTTGCGGGAAAACGTTCACGAAACCTTATCAGGTCGAAAGACACAAACGAATTCACACAGGCGAACGACCGTACAAGTGCGAGCTGTGCGCCAAATCGTTTGCCCAGAAGTCAACCTTACAGATGCACGAAAAACATCACACGGGGGATCGTCCTTATCCATGCCCGCACTGCGAATATTCTTTCACGCAGAAGGGTAATCTCCGAACACACGTGAAGCGCGTTCATCAGTTGGATGTGACCGTCGACACGAAGAAATTGAAGCGCACGCGGCAAACCTTGGGTCTCCCCAAAACCCTTCAAGGCAACTTCGCCGATGGAAAAAGTCTCAATTTGGACGACATATCGTTCGTTGAGTTCCTCAAGTAATAACATCCAGTGGAAGGGTATTATTCGTTTTTTATTTCGAACCAAATATTTTCTTCAAAAAACATGAGGAACATAATATCGATTGAACGATAAAGACAATAATATATGTATATTCAACGTTTTTCTTATACACAACAAGCCACAAGTCGTTAGTTTGCGCATCCGCGAGTAATAGACTCGTCGTGTTCGATGTACAGAGTGCATTCGATTGCTAGTGTTTGTATAAAAATAAAAGGAAATTTCTATCGTGTAATGTACGTTGGAAATTGACAGGGTTGCTCGATCATCAAGCCATTAATGTTTTCGTTACATAAGTACGGTAAGTATATTTTAATTCAGTCCAAAGTAATCAACACGAGGGAGTTAGTTGCATCGAGTGCAAATAAATTATAAATGACTAACAAAGTCCTACTATTTCTGCTTTTTATTTACGTGCACTTAATGCTACCGATCCCTTCATATTAATGTTTGAAATTGCATTTAGTTTCGGTAGTGGGACAACCATTCGGATGATTTTCATGAAACCAACAGGGCTTAACTTTTGTCCGTGGAAGAAAGTCCTTTTTCCTCGACTTCTCGACGATTCCTTCTCCTCCGGGAATTCGAAACTCGACTTTCCCTTGCGCAACTCGAAACACGTGCCTGTGATTTTTGAGCAAAGTTTGAAGACCGCCGCACTCTTTCCTCAAGCGTATCATAATTTCTCTTGGAATGGATTCCGCGATTTGCCGTAGCTCCAGGCATCGACCAGCGTTCCACGTTCTCCTAGGTGTTTCCTCGACCGATATGGCACGACCTTCTTCAAGTAATTGATTCGCTACCATGTTAACGATATCCGCGATCAAAGTTTTATCCAGCTGCGTGCAATTTCGTACTTTCTCCACGGTGGCCCTCGGTTTAAAATCGCAAGTCCATCCGTCGGTTTCACGTGTTTCGTTCGTCTCGTTCTTTTGTCGAACAAAAGTTGTCTTGGCGCTTATCATTTCTTGAATACGATTCTCTCTTGTCTCTACGTCCTCTGGTATCCTCCTCCATCCGATCAAACAGATTCGCTTGGTAGAAGGAATTCTTAATTTGTCTGTGTGCGTTACAAATCCACATTCCTCGCATACGCTTCGCACGTAATCGATGTACTCCGAGTATTGACTCTTCGATGCAGAGTGTCTTTGGTACTTGGTGCCGTCGAGTTCGTACGGACAACAAGGTAGCAAGAAGAAACGACAGTCAGCGGAGCTGCGTGCGGCGATCACTGGAATCCACGGTGTCAATTCATCCGAATGGTTTCCTATGATCCAATCGACTCCTGGGTACACGGTCGTTGAGGATGGAATGATCGTGCTGACCTAGGCGAAATAATTCAATGTATTTCTGATTCGATGCGCCACTTGGCTCCTAGTCGAGCTCGTTGCTAAGGTTTACTAAGGTTGCTTAGATAAATTTGTCAAGTTCAACTAGTAAATTTGTACGTACTTCGAGTGGAATTTCGGGTGGATACAAGTCCCAAATTTTCCTCCTTCGCAAGTCGATTCCCAACCCGCGGTGACCTTCGTTGCACAGGATATACACGAGTAAACCATTGCCACATCCTAAATCTAAAAACGATTGTAAATTCTTGGTTCCTTTCTCCGATCTCTCTTTCTCCCACAACAATAATAGGTAAGCAGCAATCGCGATGTCTTCGTAAACGAATTTCATGGGATCCGTATTTTCGGGCCAATTCTTGATCAATTTCGCGCTATACTTTTCTTTCAAGTCGCAGTACAGCGTCGCGTACTTTTCGGTTGACACTAGGCTCAACGAAGGCAGACGCACCGAATTTGACTTCGTTTCGCTTTTCATCCATTTCAACATACACGGGAACAGCTTCTTCTCTAACCATTCCATACTTGGATCGTGTTCGGCGTTCTTCGATTGATACACACTTACAGATGTACAACCATCTTTTTCTTGGTGTATCATGTATCCTTTTCTGGGACCGAGAGACCGTTTCTCCGCGAAAAAGGTTTTGTGAATGTTTATCACGCGATTCTCTTGCTTCTCCAACAGTGAAAATTCAATGCCAGGAGAGAATAAATGTGGTATACGCGGCAATTGCTTTGTTACGTATAAAACAGTTTTGTTACCTTGTGTAACAGATTCTTCTTCAGAAATATGTAACATGTCTAATAACATTTTTTTGCAGATATCATCTACATTGTGGTTTGCAGTTAGGAACGAGCAGTCCAAGGCATTGATACGTTGGAAAATTTCGAAAATATCATAGCCGATTTCTATATTCAATATTTCCACGCACGCTAATAGCCTCCGGTTAACAACCTGCGGATTACGACACCAAATGTCGATGGCTTTCCAGAACTGCGACGAACTGGCGCCAGTTTCTCCACGTATTAACGTCTTAAACTCCATCTTTCGAACGACACGGTTCAAATTTTTTTAATGAAATACAAATATGTAAAACACATCTACATACAGTTGAAGGAGTTCTTTCTTGCTCTTATTTCTCTTTGTTAATTTTTTTACCTTTGGTATACTAAAAATCAAGTAAAAAAGATTAATTATCGCAATGTACAAGAAACATATATTTAGAGCATGGAGTAATAACGTTAGAAGTATAAGATACTTTATTGATAATCCAATCTGCATCCTTTACTGCTTTTTCCATGATTTCTCGAACACGTTCCTCATCTGATTCGATTACATGCTGTTTGTAACTCTGCGAACGAAAGGTAGCGATAGTTTATTAAGCGATGATTAGAGAGGTTTTGGACTGAACATACAAAATGTATTGCAATATAGTGGAACTATTTAACGAATCACCTTAAATAACTTGTCCTCTAAAAACGATAGAAATGGAAAAATTTAAGCGAAGCATCAAATTTTTGGAGACAAGGTGGTAAAGTGTTACAGATAATACAGATAATAATGGTGATTATATCGTTAATTATAAGATAAAAATCATTTTGACAAGCATTCGAGAAAATACATATATAGAATATGTGTTATGTAGAACATATGACCCTGAAGAGGTTATGTTACTTATTTCTGAATAGATGCGACCACGTGTTTAATTCATACCTGAATCATGTTCCACTCTTTTAGGATCTCTGTGGAATTTACCTGCTTAATCGAATGTTTGTAAAACTGTTGTGCCTCCTTCGGTAACCTCTCACATTCGCGTAATAGAAATTTATAAAGCAGTCTCGGTGAATTCAGAGCAATTTCCCGCAGCTTTGCGCTAGCCATCTCGATAGAAACTTGGAACTAAGAAATAATTTAAAAAGCATTTATCGTTTATGTAATTCCAAATTTGTAAAGACAATCGAGTGCAATCTGCGAGTTCGAGAAAAGAATCTTAACCTTAAGAATCTTAAGTTTGTTCGTGGTCCTTGATCTTTTTTCGTTCTTTTCTATTTTTATTAATATTGGTTTCAGTTTTGTTACGAATGTTAAGACAAAATACGAGTTTGCTTCCAGAACGTAAACATAATAGATGGTTAGTCGAATCGATGGATAAAAGAAATATCGTCGACGAGCAGGTGTAATGAAGTTACAGTAATTATGAAAGTTTCTGCAAGAATACGCTTTTTGATCTACGAGAACGTTTGTAACCATTCAAACCATTCGTAACTGGTCGCAACCCAATAAATGGTTATATTTTTATCCCTCTTCGATAACCTTGAATACATATAGGCATAGCCGTTGGTTTGGGGGCGTTCAGGTTTAGCGGCGCTGCATGGCAATGGCATTCTTTAGCGACATTGTTGGATCTTGGACCATTGTTAATGTTAAGGTTAAAGCGTTATGATACACTTATGTCGACGTGTGGCGAATATTTTATCGAAATACCATGGACGAATTACCGTGGACGCAATGTTGGTACGACACAAAAACAGTGGGAAACACCCGACTGCTGGTATAATCGGTAATGTTGACATAAACACCTGTTCATTTTTTCTATTTATAATCATTCAACAGAAATTCCTTGTTATTTGACCTCTTAATTATTTCATACAATATACATTGCAAATTCATTATTCATTGATCTTTAAGACATTCTTTCAAAAGTCATTATCCTAAAAATCAATAAATACTGAATTTACACATTTGCGTTATTCCCTCTGTTTGACATTATATGGTTTTATATCTTTCAGTCATAGGGGATGAAATTCTGAAAGCTCAAGTGAAAGATACTAATTCTTTTTACGCATGCAGTTTGTTGTACAAGCATGGAGTCAAGGTTCAGAAAGTTAGTTCCTCCTTGTACTTAACTACTTCTGTTGTACATCCACTTATAATAAATTTTACATTTACAGATTTCAGTTGTACGAGACAATACTGAAGATATCGCAGAGGAAATAAACCTTTTCTCTGAAAAATACAATTATGTTTTCACAACTGGTGGTATAGGACCAACTCACGACGACGTTACGTACGAAGGTAATTAACAAAATATATATACAAATGAATATATACGATAGTATAGTTTCTTGACACAATTGTAATTTACAGCTGTGGCATTGGCTTTCCATGACACGTTACACTATCATTCGACACTGGTGGAGATTGTGAAGAATCGCTTTGGTTGTAAAAATTTTCCATCCCCTAGTTACAAAATGGCATATGTAAGTGGTGGTATTTATGTAATTATTTAACAGTCGAAACAAACGTGCCATCTTTTTCCAGGTGCCGACTAAATCCGAGCTTAAGTTTGGAATAAACGAAGCCACAGGACAACCCTTTCCTTATCCCTGCATAGTAATGCGGAACGTTTTCGTTTTCCCTGGATCACCCAAATTTTTTGAATCTAGTTTTCAAGCTTTATGCAAAGTACGACTAACAACAATTTTCAGATTTCTAATCAAAGATAGGCAGGGCTTTATTCGAATAATGAAAGTTTTATCTTTCTAGGAGTTTTTCGCTTTCTACAGACGCTTCGCTACAGCTGAAGTTTACGTAAACGCGAACGAAGAATCGTTCGCGAATGTTTTAACCGCGGTTGTACAGGAGTGTCCAAATGTTTCCTTTGGATCGTACCCGGAACATAGCAGGTAATGAAGTCGATTACTTTTGGAACGAACGGGGTTGTTGGCAAAATTTGTTGTTTCAATAATTTCAGAACGACTCGAATTGTTTCTTACAGGTATTACAAAGCTCGCGTTACCATAGAAAGCGAAAACGAGGAGGACACCGAAACAGCAAGAAGAATGTTTTGCGAACGTATTTCTACCGATGCACTGGTGGAATACGATCGCACGCCCCACGTCGATTGTCTCGCAAAGTACGAAAAGTTGCTTATGCAGCGACAGCCTCAACGTCGATCGATTCACGAGAGTTCCTTCGAGAAATTTGTGTAATGCCTCTTCAACTGGAAAAAAGTATCGATTACTTTTATAGCTACAGTTGTTCGCGAATGTATTCCAACGCTTGCATTTAAAGTAGTTAACAAATGAAACGCACACTTTAGACCCGAAAATGTCGTTACAGTACTATTTTAAAAACTCTAGTCTAAAGTTTAAATTTTATGCGTTAACAATTTTAGATGCACTCGAATATTTTCGCGAACAATTGTACGTTCCAAGTGCCATCGAAATTTCTTCTCTTCTGTTCTCTGTTTGTCCTTTCAGAAATTATTATCAGAAACCTGAAGAAGTATGGATATATTTGGACGGCAGCGACGAATCGATCGTCATGGTGCATCTTGCACGTGTCGCCAATTGTAAACTGCGACAGAGTTCTAAGTCGAAATTGCATGCATTCTACTTTAATTTTGATCATTTAGAATCTGGTATGATTGAATTTCTTCGAGAAATTAGTGATCGGTAGGTACAACAGCCAGTTAACTGCCTTAGAAGTGAACAAAATTTCGTTTAGATAAAATCGCGATTTGTTCTTACCGTTACTCGAAATTTTTATCTGGACAACTATTTTGTTCATAACTATTTTGTTTACATACTAGACGAGTACCAACTCCTTGCAATTGATTTGGTAGGTACAATGTCGAATTATATAGTCTGCGAAGCAATGAAAGTGACATTTGTCGATTGATTGCATCGCGACCGGAATTGCAAATATTGCTGCTTGGAAAACGTTCGAATAGCAATGAAAAAGAGATTTACGAGAATCTTACACGATTCAGTGACAACAAATCTCCCGTGCAAATACATTTCCCTCTTATCGACTGGTCGGACGAAGATGTTTCAAGTTTCGTAGTCTCTCTCTCTTTACCTTATTATACGACAGGTGAAACTCAATTGGCGCGGTAAGGAAGAAAAATTATCCCTCCCTCTGTGTACTTGTAGGCGCACGCGCTCCTTCTGTGTGTTTGTTTTTTGTGTGTGTGTGGTAGCGCATGCTCGAACGCTGTTCCCCACCCTTTTGTACACACACGAGCGCATCTATTTTTGTAGGTAGGAAATGGATAACAAATGAGAAAATCGGATAAGGATTTGCAATGTCAATGAAACTGGAATCAGAAGTGATCATGCTCAATTCAAATCGAATTTCGTAATTCGTCGATAACTATCCATCGCAGTAAATAAACATGCAGACGATGAAAGGGAAAATAAAGACCGCTTCATAGTTGGACAATTTTTATATATTCATGGCTCCCATTTGTATCAAGGATTTTTAGCTATCTTCAAATTTATAGATTTATCCGCGATAAAAACGTGGAGGATTTTACGAGTCGACAGATATAGCGAAAAAAATCTGTTGTACAATGTATCGAAATGCAATTGATTATTTGTCTCGCGTAACGAATAAGTAATGTACAAAATGGTATAAACGAACCTAATTTAACCTTATATTCGTATAAATTATCAGACCCTATAATTTGGGTCTTTTTAATATTTTATACGTACTGTACAAGTGATAAATAACTGGTTAACAATTCGGTACAGATAGTCGACTGATCCAAAGAATTAGCTGTAAAAATAATTAAAACTCGACCGATAGATCTGTTATTCCGGATATGTACCTTGATACACATATTTCATACTTTATATGAAGTGTCTGAACGCGAGCAGCGATGCAATTCAAGTAAAACGAACGCGAAGTCCTTGAAACTAGTGTATCATACTTATTAAACTGGGAAACTCTTCCGGTGTAAAGTTCTACTAACTGATAAGAGTTGCGTGTGGAAAATTCCAGAAATATGACACGATAAGTCGTGTGTATGCCACGTGTTGCACCGTTACATGTAATCCGGTAATCGAGACTTTTTCTTCGTAACCTTAAGCTGGAAGTCTTTGGGAAAATGTAGCCAAAGCTGAATATAATTTAGCTCGCAGAGGTTATAGAGATTTTTGTCCGCGCACATGGTTACGTTAAATTCGTTAGAGAGAGAGTTCGAAGAGTGAGGTTAAAACGTATGTCAGGTATCCGAGAATCGTGGGTGGGTGGTTCGTTGTGCTCGAAGGAAGAGTATCCGAGCTCGTATTACACATTTTTCAGTCGGCCCGGTCGGGGAAGAAAGAAGTAAAGAGGGTTGCTCGTCGGAGAGGGAGTAGAGTCGAGTCATGGAGGAGAACCGTTGTCGGCCCCTTCCATCCTTTTGAAATTTCATTTCGAGTTAAAGTATTTCTAGCTTTTTTCCTTTGAAAGTTTAAAATGAGAGTGGGTGGTAGTTGGCCGGTGGGCGGCCTACGGGGGTGAGGATGGAAGGTGCAGGGGCAGGGGCAGGAGGGCCAAGAAGGGGGCGAGTTGGTCGGTGGAACGGCGGAGGTATATAGTAGAGAGGGCGATAAGGAGGGGAATGAATCGCTACTACCAGAGAACCCGAGCAACGCCCATGGTTCTCTGCAGTTCACGGGCCGCATACCGTGCGCCACTCGACACTTCCAGAGTCTCAAAAGTTTCCGAACACAGACTATTTTTCATATTTTCGATTATCTCCGGCCAAGGTAGACCGGATGCATCAAGGAATCATACATTTTCTATGCCTTCGCGGGTTACTTTGCTTTTACCTTTGTTCGTTTGCCCGTTATCTGTAATTCTCAACGATTCCCCCTCTCATCAACGTGTTTGCAGTCGGAAACTTTCCGCGCTTATTCCACGCTGGTTACTCCCGTTTTTATGATTTCGATCGTAACATTGAAAATATGGAGAAATCCTTCCATGCTCGTCTCTAGGGAACATCTACTCGTTCCAAGCCAACGTTTTTACGCGAAACATATTTTTTCGAAAATTGTCTCGATTGGTCCAGAGATATGCGATAGATACATGAGAATTATATTTTATATTGCGCTAGAGTAATCAATGAGCAAACTATGCGTAACGCAACAGTTTCAAACAGTTGACAAATAGCTGTAGCTGCGATTAGTCGAATCGTAGAGACAAGTAAAGGAGACCGACTGCACTGGATCTGGAAGCAAGGAAGCAACACACGAGCGCCGGCGAAACGGAGAAAGGAATCGCGGGGATGGAGAAAGTTGGCCGAGCGAGGAAGGGAAGGTAAGGGAGAAGGAGGGGGAGTCTCATATTTCACTGGAGTATTTCATTTGAGTTTGAAATTGATTGCGTAGTAGTGGGGTGGAAAGAAGTCGATGGATACGAGGTTGGGAAAATATAGAAACTGGGCTGGTAACTGGTAGAGTGACTAACCGATTGCGAGAGGCCCG